CGATTTGCTGCAGAGAGGAGGATCCCAATCAAACGATTGTCCGGTTCTCTTCGACTAACCAGTGTTTTGAACAACCCGAAGTACATTGATAACAACTGAACAGCTAAGGCAGAGTCTTCAGAACGCAAAGTGATCTGAAAGATTGCATGTACTGAATTTGTGAAAGAGAAGGACTTTCAAAGGAACACATGCATGATTCTACGAGGGATCTTAAGATTTACATTATCAGCAAGAAAGAATGGTCAGCTGTCTGTAGCAGTCGTGCATAGAGCACATAAGGATTCGCGTCAACTGCTTTTAAACATTAATAAATCGAAAAATCACCGCGTTTTCTAATAAAGCTAATAATGTCGACTTACTGTGGTCTGGAAAGCAAAACCAATAATTAACCATTTCGAATGAGATATGGATATGTGTTTGATACATTTGATGCACTTTAAAAATACTGGTCAAAAATACCAGAAGAAAACTAGAAATACAGTTGGGCAACTTCTTAAATCTCCTTCTTGACTAACTAAACCATATTAGCTAGAATAATCTTACCTGTGAGAGGAAAGTCGATGCGTACAGATGTGCTTTCGGGCTCACATTGGTTCTGCAACCATGCCAAAATATCAATATACGAGAGGAAAGAAGTCAGATGTTAAACAAAAACCAACCGGTAGATCAACCTCTCAACCTCGGCAACAATGACAGGCCTCATATTTGGCTGTCGTTTAGTAAGGTCTTCAAGTAGTGTGGCAACAAATGATCCTATCTGAGGTTTCGGATGTCCCATCTTATTCACCAACATGCTTAGGAGAAACTGGAACATGAATGATTACACCCGTGTATGCGATCATGACAAAACCAACCCTTTCACCCTCAGGGCGTTCGGCCAAAAGATTGAGTGCACATCGGAGAGCACGCTTGCTAAGATCTTCAACAACCAATGAAGCTAGGCCCTAAAAGCATAGGTTCCATAGAAAACTTCATAAGCCTATTACAATTTGTTACATACCTCGATTGCTCTCAGAAACCGCTCATAAACCATCTTGAGTTTATGCTCAAATCTCCAAAGCACAAGCAGACGTTTTCGACCATGC